GTCTCCAGGTATTTTCCAACCCAGACTTGGCAACCCTAACACAGTCCTTCTTACAAGGACAACACCTGCTGGAGTAGGGGATCCCCTGGAATCTGCCAGAGAGAAGAGCAGAAGGAAGAACATTAAATCTGGCCAAGGAGATGGCTCTGCGCAAATTTGGAGGTATAAGTTGATAAAGATATACAGCTGGAAGATTTGCATTTGGAGCAATCTCTAAATTTAGGGGAGAACAGGTTCTGATAAGTTTATATTAAATAAACACTCTACAAGCTGGCAATGGTTCTCTGTACCACATAGACCTCCACTGTCTTGGACACACTATTTTAAAAGGCACACGAAGGGGAAGGCAGGCAGTTGGCAAGTGGCTATTCCTCCAGGGGCATGCAAGGCAGTGTCCCCGTGGTGACCAGGTGCCGTAGGAGACAGAGGCAAGGCCTCAGAACTTGGAAGGGAAGCTGGGAGTCCTGACCTTCGCAGTGGGCAATTCCTTACAAAGGTCAGGTGGTGTTGGCAAGCTACCCAGGAAAGAAAAGCTGCTCCAGGTGTTGGGAAAACTCAAGAGGGCAGGGCGGAAACGGGGCCTGCAGGCCAGAGCAGGCATGTTCTGCCCCCCCCCCAAAAAAATTTCCAGGTATTTCCTAAGGCATTGTTGCCTACCCTGGTTTTAGGTGAAGTCTGAACTGATGCACACTTTCCCCCCAAACTTTAAAACATTGCTGGTCTTCAGAGTAGGACCTCTTACCTATGGCTTTTGTAAGGGCAGCTGCTTTAGTTAAACCAAAGGAACTGAGCCGGAGAGAACAGACATACTTGTATCCACCACCTTACCTCCCTCCCCCAGCTCTGGGTTGGCAAATACCTGGAGATTGGGGGGGGGGGGGGTGTAGAGCCTGGGAAGGGCAGGGTTTGGGGAGGCTTGATCTTAGGCAAACTGACAACTTGCCATGGAGATGCCTGCAAAACATCTTGACTTCTTTTGTTCCCTGAAAAGGTGGAATGCCTGGGGACATTCTGTGCCTTCACACACTAGAGCACATCTCATTGGTACCAGAGCCTTCACCCTCACAAGCACAGAACAATACCAAAATGGGATGTCATGTGCTAGGAAGTCACTGGAGATTTGATGGAGAGTCCAGCGGAAAGATTATGTTTACAACACACACATTCAGTATTTCTTCATAAGCAAACCCCCCTCCCCCTGTCTCAAAACATTTTGCAAATGGAAATATAAAAAGCCAAGAATAAATTTAAAGTACTGCAAGATGAGAAGAAAAGAGGTGGTCTGGCAATACCTAACATTACATTATATTACCAAACTGCGGGGCTTCAGATCTGATGATGGACTACATAGCTACCTGTGGATTAAAAAATCTATATAAAAACAAAACAAAACCCAAGATAAAAGACATATAATCAGAGACAGTTTATTTAAAACTTGGGAAATGCTATGAAAGAGAATCAGCCCTACAATTCCACTAATAGATGCTTATTACGGCAACTACACAAGGAGAAACATGATTTTATAACTCATGGCGATATGATAAACTTGCAAAGTGGCATCAAGACATGGCAAGAAGAAGAAGAAGAGGAGATTTACACCCCACCCTTCACTTGGAGTCTCAGAGCGGCTTACAAACTCCTTTCCCTTCCCCTCCCCACAACAGACACCCTGTGAGGAGGGTGGGGCTGAGAGAGCTCTGACACAAACGGCTCTTTTTCAAGGACAGCTGTGCCAGAGCTTGTGACTGACCCAAGGTCACATCAGCAGGTGCAAGTGGAGGAGTGGGGAATCAAACCCGGTTCTTCCAGATTAGAGTCCGCACACTTAACCACTACACCAAACTGGCAAGAGATGAAAGAAGAAGGAAAGGAGATACAATGGTGGATATACTTTCAAATTGCTTCTAGATTAAAAAATGATACCTGCACTAAGAGAGGAGTTATTAATGAACTAACTGATTTTGAAAAGATTGTCTCACAATCTAAAGACCATTTATTAGGATGAATTTACAAGCTATAGCTTCAATATGATTCTGAAGAACGGGTCAAACCCTGCATGATTAAATGGATGCAAAATTTCGGTGAGGAAGTACCGTTTCAATGTTGGGGAAATCTATGGACTAAACGTATTAGATTCACTGCTAGCCGAGCCTTAAGAGAAAACTGGTACAAGATGTTTTAGTCATAGTCATAGAATCATGGAGTCAGAATCACAGACCATGTAGTCCATCCCCCTGCCCAATGCAGGACCAGCCTAAAGCAACTGTGAGAAATATTCGTCCAGCCCAGGAGTCATTTGGGGGGGGGACGCGGGGGGACGCCATCCCCCCAGGTGAGGTGCGGGAGGGCGGGGCCTGGAGCTCCCTGCTGGTGCCCGCTGGAGGTCGCCGCCGGCTGTGGGGAGGACACACTTCCGGTGATGTCAGGGGGTGTGGCATATGCTAATGAGTTATGCTAATGAGTCCCCCTAGCTCTTTTTCTACGAAATGACCCCAGCCTCTTCTCGAATGCTGTCAGTGAAGGGGAGCTCACCACCTCCTTAGGCAGCTGATTCCACCTTTGAACCACTCTGACTGTGAAAACGTTTTTCCTAATATCCAGCCGATACCTTTCTGCATGTAATTTAAACCCGTTGCTTCGGGTCCTATCCTCTGCTGCCAACTGGAACAGCTCCTTGCCCTCCTCCAATTGACAGCCTTTCAAATATTTAAAGAGAGCAAACATGTCCCTCCTCAGTCTCCTTTTCTCCAAACTAAACATTCCCAGGGCCCTTAGCCCTTCCTCATAGGGCTCAGTCTCCAGACCCCTGATCATCCTCATTGCTCTCTTCTGCACCCGCTTGATTTTGTCCACATCCTTTTTGAAGTGAGGCCTCCAGAACTGCACACAATACTCCAGGTGCGGCCTGAATAAGGCAGTATACACAGGGGCTATGACCTCCTGCAACTTCGATGCTATGGCCCTTTTAATACAACCCGAGACTGAATTTGCCTTTTTTGCCACCGCATCTCACTGACTGCTCATATTTAGTTTACAGTCCACCCTTACCCCAAGATCACTTTCGCATACACTACTCCCCAGAAACGTATCCCCCATCCAGTATTTGCGCTTGACATTTTTGTGGTCCAGATGTAATACTGTGCTTTTATCTTTGTTGAATTGCATCCTGCTTGCAACTGCCCACTTCAGAGTATTCAGGTCTTGCTGAATTTTAACTCTATCTTCTTGGGTGTTTGCTACTCCTCCCAGTTTGGTATCATCAGCAAATCTGGCATGTCACTCCAAAAGATATCACAAAGATGGATAAGATTTACAAAGGGGCTCGCTGGAAATGTAAAAAAAAAAGATGGCACCTTTTATCATATGTGGTGGACTTGCATCAAGACAAAGGATACTGGAAAAATATACATGAAGAAATTAAAAATATTTTAAAAACCAAATTTCTGATGAAACCAGAGATTATGTTACTGGGAATCTTAGCAGACAACATAGACAGAGCCTCACAATACCTTCTTAGATATATATTGACAACTGCCAGAGTAATATTTGCAATGAAATGGAAGACAGAAGTCTATCCTACCATAGAGATCTGGAAAGAAAAACTAGCTGAGTATGTAACTTGGGAAAACTAACCAATTATATAAACAAAAGACCACTGAAAGAATTTCAGCAGAAATTGCAAGTTTATTACTCATACTATGGGAAGAATTAACTTTTTTTAAAAAAAAGTTCTGGAATTATCTGAATATCATATTAAAGGTGAAGATATTGATTAGTTTCAATACTTTATTCTGTATTCCACTACTAATTAAATAATTACTAAGAATAAAATTTAGATTTAGATAAACAATTAAGACAATATTAAGGTTTTTACAATGATTTGATTTTAGCATAGAAGTTCATTCAGTTGTTAAACATGTAATTTCTTTTATTGTTAATAGATTATCGCTAACCTTAGGAAAGTTTTTCTTTATTCTTTAAAGAGAGAATCTATCCCAAAATTCTGTAATATTGAAGTTTTATTGTCTGCGTCTATATTTGAAATATATAATACACTTGGTAATACATCTGCTTTTACATGTTGTATATAACAATTCATAATATTTTATAAACCTGATGAATCTATATTTCCCCCTTACCCCTTCTTCCCTCCTGTATCCCCCCCCCCTTTTTAGAGAAAATGATTTAAAAAATCAATTAAAAAATCCATTTTGGAAATGGAGATTTATGTATCATAAACACATGTTGCCTTCCCATGACCAAGACTTAGAGATGGGTCAGAACCACCAGGCTCCCTGCCCCCTGCTAGATAGTGCCAAGGTAAAAGCCCATTTCCTGGGGCAGCTGCTGTGGCAGTTGCCATCCTCCAGGTGGGGGCTGTAATTCTCATGGAATTACAATTAATCTCCAAAACTATAGAAAGCTCCAATTCAGGTGGACAGCGGTGTTGCTTAACAGCAACAGAACCAAGTCTGCGCTTCGTGTGTAGACTGTTCTATAGAAAGCTTAGTTCCCTAACCCTAAGAAGAAAAGGCAACTTCGGAGGGTGACTTCTCTGGAAATACATCCCTGCTGAGTTCTTTTCCCTCCCTCCTCTTAGGGCTCTACCCCCAAATCTCCAGGAATTTCCCAGCCCAGAGACCCTTCATTTTTTTGTGATTGGGGGGAGTTAAATTTCTGAGGACTAAAAACTTGATTCCTAGGAGAGAACAAAATCCGCAGGTGGTCGCGGAGTTGCTAGTCTCCACCTTACAGCGACCAGCTCCCTGGAGAGAACGGCTGCTTTGGAGGGCGGACTCCACGGCATTCCACCCTCCCCCGTTCCGGCCCACTTTTCAGCCTCCTCCCGGCACCCGTAGCTCCCAAATCATCCTCCCCTCCAAACTCTTCAGCGCGCTTCTCTCTGGGGCTTGTAGTTCTCCGCACCCCGGAGGCCACGCCCATGGACGTGTCGTTGCGGCTAGTGATTGGGCCGGAGGAAAGAACCCGGAAGTGTTGCTATGGCGGCGGCTGCGCAGGGAGGGCTGCTCGGCAGGCTGGTCTCGGTGCTGGAGACCTACCGGGGGAGAGACCGAGTGGTGAGGGGGCGGCGCGGGGAGGGGAGGCGGGAGTGGCAAAATGTCTTCTACATCACCTCTTGCCGGCTCCTTTCTCTGACCGGAGATGCTGCCAGGGATCGAATCCCGGACCTTCTTCGTGCCAAGCAGGCTGCTCTGCCAATTTAGCCACAGCTCCTCCCACTGATGGTTATTTGGGTGGAGGGGAGGGGGTCCTTCCTTTTAGTACATCCCACTCTAATACAAAGGGTTGCCGACCTCCCGGTGGTGGCTGGAAATATCCCAGGATTACAACTGAGCTTCAGGCAACAGAGATCAGCTCACCTGGGGAAAATGGCAGCTTTGCAAGGGGGACTCTGGGGCACTATACCCCACCGAAGCCCCTCCCCAAACCCCACCCTTCTCAGGCTCCACTCTCCAAATCTCCAGGTATTTCCCAACCAGGAACTGGCAACCCCAGGGAGGGGCTTGTTGCAGCATTAAAGTGCTTGTGGGGAAGAGAAGCTTTTTGTTCCTTTGTCTCAAAGTCCTATGTGGACAGGCTGGACAGTTGCCAGCTCCTAACTGGGAGATTCCTGGAGACTTCGGGGGTGGAGCCTGGGGGCAGTGAGGTTTGGGGGTGTGAGGGACCTCAGCTAGGTGTCATGCCACAGAGGCAGTCCTCCGAAGTAGCCGTTTTCTCCAGGGGATCTGCCCTCTGCAGGTTTGTTGTGATTCCAGGAGAACTCCAGGCCCCACTGCAGGATGGTAACCCTAGGTGGACAGAGGCAACATTCAAAGGCTGTGCACGCAGATAAGAACATCCCTATTGCCGCATGACGGAGTGAGCTCCCGTCTCTAGTTCCAGCTCCTGCCAACCTAGCAGTTCGAAAGCAAGACATTGCAAGTAGATAAATAGGGACCACTTCGGTGGGAAGGTAACAGCGTTCCGTGCGCCTTGGTGTTTAGTCATGCTGGCCACATGACCACGGAAACGTCTTCGGACAGCGCTGGCTCTTCGGCTTTGAAACGGAGATGAGCACCGCAACCCTAGTCGGACTCGACTGGCTTTCGAGCAAGGGAACCCTTACCTTACCTTACTGGATCAGGACAGTGGTCCATCTGCTGTAGCATCCTGTTTCATGCAGTGGCCAACAAGCAGGCCATGGGGTGGAGGCCTTCCCCCAAGTCTGTATTTTGTGCAGTTATTCATTAAAACATTTCTATCCTGCCTTTCCTCGTGGTTCAAGGCAACTTGCAATAAAAATTTTCCGTTAGCAAACTCTAAACCCCAGCAGGTTGCCCAGCCAGAGCCGTTGGCTGTGCGTGGGCTCGGAAAGGAGGGAGCCACAGGCCAGGTGTGTGACGGGTACAAAGCTAACTGGGAAGGGAGAGTGTAAATCTAGAAATGAAAAAAGTAGAAACTCTCCCAAATTTTTTTAAAGACAAGTAGTAAAACTCATAGGCATATATTGAATATGTAAACACCTACAGCATTTCAAAAGAATGTTCAAAAGAATGTAATGCACATCGTACAGTCACATAAACCACAGACTGATGATACTTAAAGTGGTACAACCCAAAATAGTCCACAAGCACAAGCCCTCTTAGGGGTAACAATGGTCCATAGAGAAAATACTGTCCAGTATACCCCGACAGTAGTGTATGTTATCTTAAGATGGTTTCAAAGACAATCCATCAAAGGGCATAGTGAGTTAAGGTAGGTGCCTGTGGATGAAAATACAAGCCATTATTGAACTATAGATCATTCCCATGATGACTTAGTTTTCAGTGCTATACCAATTAAGGAGCCACTCTTACAATAGGATAGATGCTAAAAAAATTCTTTACCAAACAGCAGGCACATTTTATTCACCTAAGTCCCTGGAACCAACAGGTCTTAATCAACAGAATGACTTCTGTTTTCTTTAATGATGCCTTTATCCTTTTAAGACATCTGTGATGCCATTACAATCAGACACAGCTGGGACAATTTGCCCTTTACTATATCATGCTGGTAGTTGGAATGTCTGACTTAAGAGTCTTTTTGCCTGCTAGACTTGATACCATTGAGCTGTGAATTTGCTAAGAGGCCTTGGACTCCACTTAAAAAGACACAGTATTTTGATATGTTCACAGTCATTGTAAGTATAGTCTATTGATTCTTCATGTGTCTGCATGATTTAAAAATTTCTTTGTGAGGAGTTGTAGTTTCTTTGGGTTTTTGTATTTTCATCCACAGGCACCTACCTTGACTCACTTTACCCTTTGATGAAGGATTGTCTTCGAAACGGTATTAAGATAACATACGCTACCGTTGGGGTATACTGGACAGCATTTTATGGACTGTAATTGCCCTTAGGAGGGCTTGTGCTTGAGGACTATTTTGGATTGTACCACTTCAAGTATCATCAGTCCGTGGTTTATGTGACTGTATGATGTGCATCACATTCTTTTGAAATGCTGTAGGTGTTTACATATTCAATGTATGCCTATGAGTTTTACTACTTGTCTTAAAAATTGTGGGGGGAGAGTTTCCACTGTTTCCTTTCTAGGTGTGTGATGGGGGCTGCCTTGTTCCTTTCCTCTCCCAGGTTCGCACCCTCTGCTATGGCTGCCAGCTGGCGGGAGGGGCGCTGGCCAGGAAGGACCCTGCCCGAGCACCAGTTGGGGGCAGCCTACTAGCCCTGGCAGAGCAGCTGAGCCACTGCCGGACAGTCCTGCGCCTCTTCGATGACCTGGCCATGCTGACCTACAGCTGTCAGTATGGGCTGGGGGCCAAAGTAAGTTGGGGGGAGGGGACATCTCATGTTTTCCCTGGCCAGGGGCTGTTGGCCTTTAACAGCAGGGTGGCGATGCTTGTGGTGCTTCCCCCACATACTTTTTCTTGCCGAGACTCAAGGCAGATTACAGTGTTTCTTTTCTTTTAAATGCAATAAACGGTGAAAACCTTCTGTAAGGGAATGCAGAGACTGGATTATAAGAACCAGAACACATGCAGTAAAGACGATACTATGTGCAATAACCTGCAACCCTCTTCATTTTATAAAAGGGTGAACCATTCTGTTTCAGTAGTAAAGAGCAAGAGTCCAGTGGCACCTTAAGGACTAACAACATTTGTGGCTGGGTAGGAGCTTTAGTGAGTCACTGCTCACTTCTTCAGATAGATCAAGATGGGTGGCCATTAGTTTGTCTGTCTGTAGCTGGAGAAAAGAGTGAGAGTCCAGGAGCACCTTCAAGACTAACAACATTTGTGGCAGGGGAGAAGCTTTCCTGAGTCACTGCTCACTTTTTCGGATAGATCAAGATGGGTGGCTGTTAGTCTGTCTGTAGCTGGAGAAAAGAGCAAGAGTCCAGTAGCACTTTAAATACTTCAAGAAATGAACAGCGACTTGGAGTAATATAAAAGAGAAATTTTATAGGAAAATTCCAAGGTGGGTCTCTCCCTTAGAAGGATTTATTAGCCCAGCATTAATAACAATAAATAAAAAAGAAAGTTACCAGACCTTGCTAAATAGAGAAAATAAATTAAAAACAGAAAAAAAGTTGTTACAGGAAAATAATTTATCGTGGTGGGAACAGATAATGTTGCGAGATAGATATAAAAAGGATATGATAAGAGGCTTTGAAGATCAAAACAATGAACTAGATAAGATTTGGTTGTCCTCAAATGATAAATTAATACAGAAAATGTATGGATTCCTGTTGACTGATTTTGAACAAGATGAAGAAATAAAAGAAGTTATAGGAAAAAATATAGAAATCGATCAGTGGTCAAAAACATGGGAATCTGTTAAATATATGAGAGCTATATCATACAAAGAAAATGTATATAAAATGTTCCACAGGTGGTATTGGTCCCCAAGGAAAAAATAGCTAAATGTTATCCTGGTTACTCCAGCCAATGTTGGAAATGTAAGGCTAATATAGGGACATTTTATCATATGTGGTGGAAATGTAGTAAGATACAAGGTTATTGGAAAATGGTGAGGAAAATAATTCAAGAAATTATGGGAAAGATTTAGCGTTGAAACCGGAAATATATTTGTTAAATATGATACCGAAGGGGTATAGTCAGCAAGAAAAATGTTATTTTATATAATAACCGCTGCACGTCTGTTATTGGCTAAAAATTGGAAATCAGATAGAATACCTTCTAGAGAAGATTTAGTATTGAAAGTACTAGAGTTAGCACAAATAGATAATTTGAGTCTGATGCTGCAAAATAAAAATGAAAAGGTATAGATTGTTAAAGGTATATAAATGGATAGAAGATTTGACAAATGTTTAAGACTCTATACTATATGTAAAAAAATATTGGAATGTAATACTTTATAAAACCTGAATAAAATAATTTTTTTTAAAAAGAAATGAACAGTGACTCATGAAAGCTCCTGTTGTTGTTCAGTTGCACAGTCGAGTCTGACTCTTTGCGACCCCATGGACCACATCACACCAGGTCCTCCTGTCTTCCGTCGTGCTCCGGAGTTTTAATTTACTGTTCGTTGCCTCGATAACACTAACCATCTCATCCTTTGCCGTCCCCTTCTTCTTTGACCTTCAGTCTTTCCCAGCATCAGGGTCTTCTCCAGTGAGTGCTCCCTTCTCATTTGGTGGCCAAAGTATTTGAGCTTCAGCTTCAGTATCTGGCCTTCCAGGGAACAGTCAGGGTTGATTTCTTTTAGGAAAGAAAGCTTCTACCCTTCCACACATTTTTGTTAGTCTTGATCGTTCTGTTTCAGACATTCTGGTGGCTTCCGCAAAGGGACGTATTTCTAGGTGGTTTCCCTGTTGCTGCTGCTGATACAGCACGGGGGCAACATGGTTTCCGCTTGGCAGATCTCCCTGCCCCCTGACAGCAGCGAACCCCCCTCTTCCCTGGCCAATGGGGGGCTTCTCATTTTTTGAGGCGACTGAGTATCATGTCAGTGTTCTAATAACCTGCGTATCAATTCCTGCACCAGTGCTGGAGGGAAAGGAGAGGGTGGAGGGGTAACTTCTCTCTCATGCCAGTTGAGGGTAACACATCATGCGGCTGATGAAGCAGGGTTTGGCTCACAAAAGCTTCTGCCACAATAAATCTAAGAGTGTTGAAAGATCCCAAGGTTCAGTGCTCTTGTGGCTGCGGTGGTCCAACGCGGCATTTGTCTCGTTTGCAGGAGACACTCAGGAAGGGCCCAGGCCTGGCTTAGCAAAATGTCAGAGAAGGGAGGGGGGGCGTTCCTAGGTTACAGGGAAGCGTGCAGGTTCAAAAGAATGATTCCGAAATTGAACAGCTGCCCCTCGGTGCCCCCCTCGGATGAACTTTGGCCATATCAGTCGCTTGCTTGATACCTCCAAGAAGCAGTGATCTTCTAACGTGGCTTGAACACAAACAAGCCTATTTCTAGAACAAAGTCCGAGTCCAGCGGCACCTTGAAGACCAACAAATTTGTATTCAAGGTAGAAGCTTTCATGCATGCACACAAAAGCTTATATCTTGAACAAAACTTTGCTGGTCTTCAAGGACTCAAGATTTTGTTCTGCATGGCGACCCCACCTGAATCTAAGCCTGTTTGCAGTTTGACAGTGAGAGTTAGAAAGAAGAGAGCCCCCCACCCCCCCCCCCGCCCCCCCCCCCCCCCCCCCCCCAGAGAGCCACAGGTCAGTAACCTTTCAGGCAAGAGCACAGCATATTGACACCCAGCAGCAGAAGGGAAGTGGCCCTTGCAGAGACACGGGCCCTGGCATGAGTGAGTCCTTTGTGCACTCTGCCCTCCGCCCCCACCCACCCCACCTCTGGACCAGAGGGGCTTGGTACGCAACTGCCTGGCAGCCGCTCCCCGTGCCTTTCAAGTCCCGGCTTCTCAAAATTGCTTAGCCAGCATCTGTATTGGTTAGAGTGTCAGAGCAGGATCTGGGAGACCCCAGGTTCGAATCTCCACTCGTGCAGTGGAAGCTCGCTGAGTGGCCTCGGGACAGGCACACATTAGCATAATAACCAACCTCCCGGGGTGGTTATTGTGAGGATAAAACAAGAGCTGAGGATAATGATGTGGGAAGGTGCTTTGGGCCCGTTGGGAAGGAAAACAGGGCATCAGTAGCTACGTAGATAATTCTAGCACTTCAACCACATTCTCTATTTCTAGATCAGTTCTTGCCCAAGGTGCACATGCTCAGAGGCACTCATTTCGCATCCTGCAGTCGTGAGCTCTGACCGAGGCAGAGCAGCTGGCCTTAGCTTTTACCTTCTTTGCACACTGCAGGAGGAGGACTCCATAGTGCGCTGGCTCTCTGTCCTCAACAACCTGGCCGACCAGCTCTACTACCCCTGCGAACACGTGGCCTGGGCTGCAGATGCAGAGATCGTCCGTGCCAACGCACCCAAGTGGTGGGCACTGAGCATGGCACTCTGGGGAGCATCTCTGCTCCTGGGGATGGCTCGGTAAGAAAGCTGGTAGTGCAAAGGGGGGCGGGGAGGTATTGGCACAGAGCCCGACCTGATGCCTGCGTGGGTGTGTCACTTTCCCCCAGCCGGAGCAGCCTCCTCTTAAGTCAGAGGTTTGTGATGGCGGGGAGACCTAACCATTTCCCAGACTTCTCCAGCTCTGCCTGCTCTTCCATTGATTGCCTTGGTCTCATCACAGAGCTTTAAAAAAGCACACTGGGGCACGGGGGAGGAGGGGCCAGAAGCACACCTGATGTGCTCCAGGAATTCTGTACGCTGCTGAAGTACCGCCTTTCCCACCCTTCTTCCAGCTCTCTGAGAATCCTGACCCAGCTCAGATGGAAACTGCAAGCACAGCCCAGGTACGACCCCTTCCCTGTGTCTCCCCTGCCGTTTCACATCCTGCAGTCATCTCACATTTCACTGGGACCCCTTCCCACAAGTGCTGCAAGGAATGTCCTTTCTCCCACCTCTGAGAGCTGGTGCTCTCTGGCTGGTCGCTCGCTCTCCTTCAGACACCCCCTGTGCCTCCTCCTGCCTCTCTGGAAGACCCCAGAAGAGGAGCATTCCCGCCCAGGGACCTGTGTGGAGAAGGAAAGCTGCTCCCAGAGCTCCAGAAATTATCTTGTGAAAACTATGGGGTCAAAGGAAACACACACACACACACACGCAGGTTAGGCCACGGCTGGCAAGTGAATTGATGGGAACTCCTTCTCCTTCTCCCAGCAGCGCCAAGGAGCTGAGGGCCCAGGCAAAAGCAGAAGCGCTGACCATCCTCAGCAACGCAGCCGATCTGGCCAACGCCATCCACTGGCTGCCTCCGGGACTTCTCTGGGCTGGGAAGTTCCCCCCGTGGCTGGTTGGCCTTCTGGGGACAGTCTCTTCTCTGACTGGGCTCTACCAAACCTACGAGAAGGTCAGCACCGGGACGGTGTGAGAAGCCGATTCAGGCAGCCGGCTGGCTGGCATCCAGCTCGGGCAAGCACAGCAACTCTTCCACCAGGGTAATTTCTGCTTCCAGCACAGCACAGTACCGGGGGGACACAACTGGCAGGGCAGCACTGTGGATGCCAGGGGATGAAGCCAAGTCCAGGGGAGGTGGGGGTCCCCCTCCACATTCCTGCAAACGGGTTCCCAGCTTGGGGGTGGGTGGGGAGACCTCCTCCTCTAGAGGCCGCCCCCCCTTGGGGGGGGGAGGGGGCCAGCTGCTCACTGTGAGACAAATCAGGGCAAATAAGAATAAAGAGCAAGACTGACAACCAGCACAGGGGTTGAGTCTTCCTGGCTCTTGGTGCACACACCTTTGCTCCCTACCCAGCAGGCTATGGTGGCAAGGCGGCCACAAATCCATGGAGGGCTGCCGTGCGACCTTTCTCCCTGTCCCGTCCTTCCTCCTCCAGTAGACTGTCTGGGCTCTCCTGCACAGGCCTTCACACCAGCCTTGCTTTCCCAAAGCGGTGGCCTTCCTGCAGGAACACACGGAGCTGCCTTCTACTGAATCATTGCCTGTTTTAGCATGACAGTAGTTATATTCTGCTCCGCTCAGTAGGGGAGGGGAAATCAGAGGGAACATCTGTAAAGTGGAGATGCCAGGGACTGAACTTAGGACCTTCTGCACAACAAGCAGATGCTCTGCTGAGCCAGGGTGGCAGCAGCTGAGCCATGTGGATCCAGAGTTTTCAGAGTGTTAACCCAGGTTCAAGTCTCCACTCACACCATGAAAGTATGCTGGGTGACCTTGGGCCAGTCACACTGGGGGCTGCCATAGTTTCTGTTGTCAATCTCTGGCTTGTTAAGGAAGGCCAGCATGACTTAGGACCAAGCAGCTGCTTTTCCCTGAAACTGAGCTCCAGCAGAGTTTTCAAGGGCAGCTCCACTTACAGGGATGTATTGATAAATTCAAATTTCAAAGCGTATTGACAGGTGCTTTAACCTTTGGGAAAGGAAAAGTGTTCAAGCTTTTCTTTGTGCAGTGCTGCGGTGGGTGGAAAGAACTAGGATTTCATTTTCATATTGTGGTTTCCGTGACAATAAATCAAGTAGATAAAGTTTGGGGTCAGCAATAGAGAAGTTCAAGGCACTGAAGTTTCCATTTTTCAGATGTATTTGAGGTTCCCCAATCATTCTGCAGAGAAGAGACAACTGCAATCATTGCTTTTTTTAAAAAAACCATTCAGTGTGCCAGATCACCTTTCTGATCACTAAAATAGTGCACAATTCAACAAACATATTGAACATTTTGAACCAGAGGACTTCACCAATAAAATTAAGAGGACGACGAGACGAAGAGCTTGCTACAGAATTACAGGCAAGGAATGGACTCTATGTCAGGCGCTTGCAGGGGCCACCGGAAGGCATCACTGCAGCTTTGTGCAAGCAGGGCAAAGATGGGGTGTGTGTGTGTAGCTTTTTAAGACACAAGCAGCAGCAGCAGCATCAAGCGGGGTCCAGCACGGGGGAAGTTTCTCTCTCTCTCTCACGCCACAAGAAGGAAATAGAAAAGGTCCTTGAAAAACGCCAGCCGCAGTCTAAAGTGCTCCAATTCTTCTCAGTACAAAAACTGTACACACATAGATTACAAACACGGATGGAGTATGGCACACGTGGTATTCGGGATGCCAGCGGCCTCAACAAGCAGATGGGGTGTGGGGGTGGCAGGCTCAGAGCCCCCCTAGTCACAACTCCAGGCCCCCCTCCCTGCATCTCATCGGCTTCTGGGGGGGCTTCTGGGAAGAGGTGCCACGTCCCTCTCTCGCCCTGCCGCACAGAGGCTTGTTTGACAAAGACAGCCGTGGCCACGACCATCCCTGCCACTGGGCCTGACCTGGCCCTCTTTGACCAAGTCAGACACAACCTGAGCACAGGAAGGTGAGGTTAGGGAAGCCAACTCCTGCCCTGCCGTGCAAAAGGAAATGTATGCCCAGGATCACATCTGCTCTGAAATGGGGGCAGGGGGGCTGATTGATAAAAGCTAAAGGGGGTACAAACAAGGAAGGAGCTTTCCCTCCTGCACTCCCCACAGGATCAAAACTGCTCTCGAGGCTCAGGCAGCAGGTGTGGAAGGGAAGCTGGAACCGTGGGGGGCCCGGTCTCTTTGCACTCCCAAGATATTCTTCCACATGGGAATGGGTTTTATTAAAAAAAAGAAAAGCTGCACTGATCTAGAGAAATGCAGGCAGCCAGAGAGACGCCTCCCCACCTCCACTACCCTTCCTTCCCATGTGACAGCCCTCGCAGAACCGTCCTGTTGACGCTGCAAGGGTGTGTGAAGGGGTCTCATTGCACGCAGACCAGGCCTCTGTCCCCGGGGCGAGGGGTGCACCTGGCGCTTGGCATCGCAGTCATGCAGAGAGCAGATCAGCACGTGACACGGACATCGAGCAGCAGAACGTGGCAGAAGAGACCCCGTCCCGTCCCAAGCAGCGGGGGGGAAAGAGCCGGGCGGAAGCCAGCGGGTGGGACAGTGTCAAGTGTCTTCCCTCCCTTCGTTTTGCCGTGCAGGGTCAAAAGACGTCTCCGCTCCTGCAAATCTGAGCTGTGCTTCCTTCTCTTGGGAAAGGAGACCTGCCGCCACAGCAGTTGGCTTCTGCACCACCACCCACAGCCAGACTCTTTGGCAGAAGCGGCCGTCCCAGAACCCCAAAGAGGGAGGTGTCGGTCTCCTCTGCGGAGATGGGGGAGTGCGGCTCCCCGGCGGAGGGTTGGGACTGGCAGACATGCAGCTGCCCCCCCATCCACGGAGCTCCTGGCCTCAGCCTCTCTTTGCTCACGGGCAGCAGGGAGTTCAGGATAAAGGCTAGGGAGGCACAGGCCGTGGCTAAGGCCCCACCTGCCCGGAAGGGACAAGAAAGCACCTGAGTGGGAATCCCACAAGAGGGCATCCGAGCTACCAGTCCACAAATGGGCGAGCTGTGGAAGGGCAACCCCCCGCTGGGGCCAAGGAGCAGAGGCCTTCTGGGTGCTGGTCAGAAGAAGATAATGTCCTCCTTGGTGGCGGCAGCAGCAGCTGTATCATCCTGGGCGGGCGGAAGGGCGTGGATGCTGCTGGGCTTGACCGGATGGGCAGGGGGGAGCAGCGCTGCTGGGTGACTCTCCGCGGGGCCGGATGGATCCGCTGGGAGAGAAGAAGAGGCCTGAGTGCCGCGACGCCAGTGGCCAGGGCTCCATCAGCTGCCCTGCGTCCGCCCCTCAGACCCAGCTTACCTGGCAGGGGGGCAGTGTTCTGGCCGTGCAGGAAAACCGGGCTGGCCACCTGTCTGCTGCGGGGCCCGGACTCGTCCTTCCCAGCCAGCCGGGGAGTGAGCAGCTGCCGCAGGTCGACTGACGCTAAACACAGAAAGGAAACCCTTGCAGCCCCAGGCCTGCTCCCCAGGTAGCGGAGGCAGCAGCACAGTCCCTGCCGCCGGCTGGGGGAAGCCCTTTTACCGTGGAGGAGCCCCTCTCAGTGGCAGATGCTCTCCTCAGGGGCTGAACAACCTCGGACGGGCAACGGGCTCATTAGGAAGGGAGGCCGCGGCAGCAGAGGAAGGATGCCAGCCGGGAAGTGACTCTGAAATAGCCTGCGTGCCAAGGAGGGGCTCCAACCTCTTTGCTTCAGCCCCTCTCCTCCAGAGGCAAGAACGGTGCCCACCAAGGCAAGGCCCCGCACCAGATTACTCCCAACAGCCCAGCCCTAGTTCCCCCCCCCCCTGAAGCCACTACCGCCACCCTCTGGGCTCCTCCGAGACTCACCCGAGCTGTCCGCCCGCTGGGAGGCCCTGCCAGGCTTGCCCCCTTTCTCTTTGCTGCCCTTGGTGAAAGCTGCCAGCTTGGTGGGGATCTGCTGCTGCACGGCGGCCTGCTTCTGGTTCTGGTTGGTGGCACTCAGGAGGTGGATGGGCACCTCGTTCTTGAGGGGCAGCACGGGACGCCCCTCTGCCGCGGCACTCTCCCGCCGGGCCAGCTCCGTCCGCTCCAGGTAGTCCGCCCCTGAGATGCTGGCCCGTCCAGAGGGCTTCGCGGGGGCCAGGCTTCCTTCCAGCCCTTCCCCGTTGAAGCTGACCGAATGGGTCAGGGGGTGACCCTAGAAAGAAAGAAAGAAAGACAGCCAACGGTTGGGGCCGGCCTCTGTGGAGCTGGGCTGCAGGAGAGGCAGAGGCTCTGGGCAGCTCTCGGGCCAGGCTTCCCTGAGGCCCGACACTCCTCTTTCAAAGGGGCCCTGAGCCCCCCCCCCCAGTCTACCTGGAAGCACAACTGAGCCGACACAAACAGCTACCCTTGACGGCTGTGGCAGAGCACCTGCATGGCCTGCAGTGACAAGGGATTCTTAGGCCCCGAAGGGCCGCATCCAGCCGGAGCCCAGGTAGGCCTGACTCGGCACCCAGAACTGTGGAAAATACCACGGCCAGGCCAGGCGGGCCTCACTGAACCAGCTCTCTCGTGACCCACAGGAAAGCCTCCCTCTCCGAGGCAGACCATACTCGCCCCCCGTCCCCTGCCGAGGCTGAGACTTCAGGCACTCCTCTACTCCACAGGAGCCTGCTCACTTCCTGTGGCCCAGCTTTTTGTGACATGCTGGGGCTGCTCCTCCTGGAGGAAGTGCGTGCGTTTGGGATTGGCCAGCCCCTGAGTGCGAGGAACCACCTCTCCCCCGTCTCCCCGTGACGAATGCAGGAGCCTGCTGGGAGGCGGACTCACCGGGCCCATTTCAGGAGAGAAGGGCCCCGGCGGTTTCTTCAGCCTGCGCAGCTGCTCCAGGCGCTCCCGCTCCTTCTCGACGGCCCGCTGGGCCTCCCGCAGCCTGGCCAGGTCGTGCTGGTAGGCCTCCCGCTGCCGCTCCAGCTCCTCCCTCTCCTGGCCCAGGCAGGCCTGCAGCTGCCGCAGGGCCTCCTCGCGCTCCTGCCGCTGGGCCTCGGCCGCCTCCAGCTCGCGCCGCTGGCGGTCCCGCTCGCGCTCCCAGCGCTGCTGCTCCACCTTCAGCTGGCCCTGCAGCTTCTGCACGTTGGCCAGCTCCTCCCGCTGCTTCTCAAAGTTGCGCTGCCGCTCCTGCTCCAGCAGCAGGCTCCCCCGGGTCGACTGCAGGCGGAGCTGCTTCTCGCGGTCCAGGAGGCTGCTCTGCTGCTGCTCCATGTAGCTGTCCTGCTGTGCCATCACCGCCTGGGGAGGGGGGGAGAGGAAGAAGGCCTCAGCTGAGGAGAGGCTGGAGGGAGAGATTCTGCTGGCAGGGGTCGCCTCAGAAGCTCACCTGCACCCTCCCCCCAAAGTAGCAGAGGGGTTCTGGTCACACCTGTGCACACGGAGAGCCAGGCGTCTAGTGCATGAACAGAACTCCCTTCTAGTCCATGGGGCTGCAGAGGGTCCCCTTTCCCTTCCTGGGTTCAGTGCTTCCCGTCCAACTGCTCACAATCACCACATTTGTCCTTCTGGATGCTTCCCCCCACACACACACACCTACCCATAACGGTCCTTTCCCAAAAAAATCTGAATGCTACAATGCCATAAAAACCCTGGAAGCTGGGGGAGGCGGTGGCTTACCTGCAGGCTGAGAAGCAACCTCAAGAGGGCCTGTATCCTTTGAACAAGCTGGGAAGAGAGACAGAGCGAGGGTGAGGTGGGGTGCTAGCCACCGGGGAGAGAGCCATGCCTCAGGAAGGACCCTTGCAAGGCCCTGACGGCAGGACTGTGGGGGCCCTGATTCAAAGGGGACCCTCTCCTGTGTGGAGACACACCAGGAGGGAAAATGGCAGCCCAGAGGAGCTTCCTGCTTCTCAGCACCTCCGGCTGCCCCAGTCCAAGCCTGCAGCGGGCCGAGAGCGGCTCACTTCCCTTCCTGTTTGGGTTACCGCAAGCCCAACCCCCCTGCTGCGAGAGGGAGAGTCCGGGCACGGCCTGCGTGAAGCCCCATCTCCCTCTCCAATCGGCCCTCCCCTGCCCCACCGTGCCCGAGGCACGCCTTGCGATTCCTTGGCTCTCTGAGCTTGTACCTCTGACTCCACAGCCGGTGGAGGTCGGCCGCTGCCCTCCAGCCTCAAGAGATCACTCTGCAGAGAAGCAAAAGGGAAAGGCCTGCTGGTGGGAGAGCGAGGACTTCGACTCTGACGGCGGCACTCGGGGGCAGGGGCTCAGGTCATAGAATCATGGAGTCGGAAAGGGCCATACGGACCATCTAGTCCAACCCCCCTGCCCAACACAGGACCAGCCTAACGCATCTCTGACAAATATTCACCCAGCCTCTTCTTGAAAGCTGTCAGTGAAGGGGAGCTAACCCCCCTCCCTAGGCAGCTGATTCCACCTTGGAACCAGCAAGCGGAAAACCTCCACTTACCAAGCACGGCCCTTCATTGATGGCCGAAGGAAGCTCCTGGAGAGGCACCTCTGGGTTAGTCGGAAGGCCTCGGCGCTCCCGCACCCACTGGTCTCCACCAGACACCTTCTTCTTGAAACTACCAGCTAGAGAGAGGGTGGAGGGGGGGGGCAAAATGACTGACGGGGGCAGAGAGGAAGCCCTTTCCCAATGGCTCACTCCCCAGCTTGGGGGGGGGGATGAGAAGAAGCCACTGTTCAGCACAAGGCTGGCTTGGCCGGGGTTTAACAGACCACTGAGGAGGAGGGAAAAGCCAGTCGGAAGGTGAGGCCGGTCTCAGGAGCGTCTCCTTGGATAACAAGGCCAAGTGTGCACACCCCCCACGGCTCACGAGAGCCAAGCACGAGCCTGCTGGGGCACAGCAGGACGGTGTGGCCCGAGCAGAGACAGCACAACTCCTCCCCACGAGTGGCCCTCCGGGCAGCTCAGGAGGCTGGGCGGGGAGCTGCCACTCCTCGGCCCCATCGGGAAAGGCTTCGTTCCTATGAGTGACCGAGGCCCGTTGTGTCAGAGCTGCACACTCTGGTGCTCCCGTTCTTGGAATCGCTCTCACTTTTGGCCAGCCCAGCCGCGGCACTGTCGTAGCCCCCGAAGGTCTCCGCTCGCCTCAGTGCACCCGGCGCACAGCTGTCCTCGGGATGAGAGGCCACACTCCCCAGCTGCATGAAGAGCCAGCTCTGGATGCTCTCCGCTAGAAGACACAGACAGGCCTGCTTCAGCGGCCTCTTGGGGGGGGGGGGGGACGACAAAGAGGAGAACTAACATCCTCCCTCCCCCCCTCCAACGGTCACCAGCAGAAGCACAGCAGCTGCGTGTCCTGGCAGAGCTGCAAACGCTGGGTCTCGCCCCACTTTGGCTGTTAAATAACTAGTCAGGGCCAATGCTCCCTCTAAGCCGTGGAGTCCTGTGAGCAAAAACTCCGCTTTGTGAGCTCCTGGCATTAGCGAGCGAGCGATTTGGCTACGGCGTACATTCGCTTGCTCTGGAGTCATCTTTCCTGAGCTAAGACAAAAATGGGTGAGCCGGAGGCTAAAAAACGGTGGGCTAGCTCACACTAACTCAGCTTAGAGGGAACTCTGGTCAGGGCCCTCTACAAGACGGGATCGTGGGCATCCCAGGGTCTCCATCTTTCAGGAGCCCCAGCAGCTGCGGCCCATCGCTCGCCTGCTGGCACCTCTTCAGCACCTCCTACCTTCAGACACCGCCTGCTTGACCAGGACCTCCCCCTGCAGGTCCTCGGGGGACTCCGTCCTGCAGATGAGCCAGGGGCGGGAGGCTTGGGGCGCCACCTCGAAGCCATTCATCTCCGCCATCTCCAAGTATATCTGCTGCTTCTCATTCAGGCTCTGCATGATCAGGTCGTCTTTCACCCGCAGGCGGTCTAGAGTTGGGGGCCCAAGCAGGAAGCACTGAGTCGGTGCCGCTCCAGGGACTTTCCCCGGCCTGTCTGGGAAACAGGGCCTGAGGGGGCTGGCCCCGCTGGAAGTGGCTGCTCCACAGCTACACTACTTTGGGTCTTGAGGTGCTCTGAACCAAACGCCCTCCTTACCATGGAACTCCTTCAGCTTCGCTGCTCTCGCTTCGGCTTGCTTCCTCTCCTCCTCGGGGTCGGCGGGGGTCCTCTCCTCCTCATCGGGACAGCTGCAGAGCAAAATGGACACGGTTCTCAGCTCTGGCCACGCAAGGCTGCCCTGCCTGGCTGCACTTCCCCCGCCCCAGCTCTGTTCGGACTGCGCCACCCCAAGGGGAAAAGGAACCGGCAACGGGCAAGAGGCCAGACAGACTGGGGGGGGGGGGTCACACGTACTTCTCCACTGCCCGGCGGATCTGCGCCATCCAGTAATTCCTGTCCTCCTTGGAACTGGTGTGAATTTCATACATCTCGGGTCCTTTCAGGGAGGCACTGATCAAGAACATGGCTCTCTCCTCATTGGCCACCTCCCGGACTATCAGCTTCTGCAAGGAGATCACTGGCGGCTTGGGATCCTGCAATGCAGGAAACACCTCGGTCAGTCTCTGGCCTCTCCAGAACACCCCTGGACCGCAAAGGCCCAACAGACCATCCTCACAACAACCCTTTAGGGCAGGCATCAATTACTGTCCATGTATTAGATCCAGAGGGGTGGGCCGTGTCAGTCTGTCTGCAGCAGCAGAAAACAGCAGTCCAGAGGCACCTTAAAGACTAACAAAATTTGTGGCAGGGGAGGCGCTTTCGTGAGTCAGGTCTCACGTCTCCAGATACCTTCACCGCTTCAGAAGTGATCTGTGACTCGTGAAAGCTCATCTCCTGCCACAAATTTTGTTAGCCTTTAAGGAGCTCCTGGACTCCTGCTCTGTCCTGCTGTCCCCATGTGGAAGATGCAGTGCTGAGACAGAGTGCAGCCGAGCCTAAGGTCTCCTAGTGGGTTTATGGCAGAGGTAAGATTCAAACCAAGGACCTCCTGATCCCAAGCCCAGCCTCTAAGCCACTAGGGTCCACCAGCCAGGGAAGGACTGAATTCTGCTATCACATCGTCGCTCCTGTGCTCTCATCCACCCACCTACCCTGGGGAGCTTTGGGCACAACCCCTGCTCACAGATACGCACCACAGACGCAAACGCGTACTTCTGGTCCTTCTCCTGTAGCAGCAGCAGAACGTCCGTCAGCAGAACAGCGAGAACATCTGCAGGAGGAGAGGAACTGTCTCAGAGGACAGCCAGGGCAGGCTCCCGGGGCTTCAGGTGCCAAGCACGGATGCTGTAGCCCCTGTCCAGAATCTGCAAAAGCTGGTGTCCCTGGCCCACACCCCCCCCCAAACAGGACAACCAGCCAGAACCGGTATGTAAGAGCAGCCACGGAGGGCGCTGCTGCAGCTCTAACCCACTGGGTGCACCAGATGTTTCACCAGCCAGTCCCTTCCCCCCAAATCCCTTTACATCTTACCCAAAAACTAACAAGGACTCCAAATTTCTCATTTTTGACCTATTTTTCTTTAGATTGCAACACATATGCCAATCTCATGAGGACAAAACCCCCGAGAGCCGATCCCTTCTGCCACTCTGCACTGTTCCCCTAACCCATCTGTTGTTTACTTTTTAAAGATGGGGCCTCCAAACCACCACACAGCACAGCAAGCGCAAGCACCCTCTCTGTCCTTCTGGTGGTGCCAGTGCGCAGATTAGTGGTCGCCTGCAGGGGCAAAGGGAGCAGAAGCCGTGGGTGGGTGGGTGGCGGCTGTGGCCGTGCACCCTCTTCAGCCCCCGCAGCTTGTGCTGGGAAAGGCCTCTCCCCTCTTGAGACCCTGGAGGAGAACAGACTGGCCTAGACTGGCCTGCATGAGGCACCTTCATATAATTTCAAGACCTACATTTGGTTTGGAGTGGGAGCCACAACTCAGTGGCCGGAAACCTGCTTTATTATTTATTGATTAGATTTGTATCCCGCCCTCCCCAAATGGGCTCAGGGCGGCTAACAACAGAGGCAAATGCCATAACAAACAATTAAAACAGCATAACAACAATCAATAAATAAAGTGCGGTGCTCTAGATGTTAAATCTTATCACTCCAAGATGGGTTCCGTTTATCAACCTAGCCTGACAACGTAAGTTCTTTGGTCATCTAGGCGTCTTCCCTGGGTCGGTTCACTTATCTATCTAATCCACTGTCGAAGATGGCAACTCGGTGGTGGCACAATGACGGCGGCGGCTCCTATGCGAAGGCCTGGCGGAAGAGCTCCGTCTTACAGGCCCTGCGGAACTGTGCCAAGTCCCGCAGGGCCCGGATCTCCTCTGGGAGCTCGTTCCACCAGACAGGAGCCGCCGCCGAGAAAGCCCTGGCCCTGGTTGCGGCCAACTTGATGTCCTTGGGGCCTGGAACCACCAGTAGGTGCTGCGCCCTCGACCGTAGTGCTCTTGGGGGGACATATGGGGAAAGGCTTTTGCACACTAGAGGTTCCAGATTCAATTCCTGCCACTCGGGTCAACTCCAAGGGTGCAGGTGAGGGGACCTTGGGAAGTGGGAGGAAGGAGCGGAGCAGAGCAGAGCTACACGACAGCCGCCATCGCAGGATGGTCAGAAGGTTCATGCTCAAATGCAGCCCAGGAGGGGTAAAATCTCACCAGCTTTACATTCTCCAAGTAAACCGGGTGTGTGTGTGAGTGTGTGCCACATGATTGGCCTTCTTAAAAGTGTGAAGTGGCCCAGAGACGGCTGAACCACCCCAGCCAGCCCCCAGCAGCCGGAAGAGGGCTGACTGATCCCCCGCTCAGTGCTCTCGCCGCAGCCTGCACGGAGGAGGGCGAAGGAAGCCCGGCACCTACCGACCTTTCAGGCGCCCCGAGGCAGCTTTCCAGGACAGCATCCCGTCGGTCAGGAGGCGCCGCTGCAGCATGTCCTCCTTCCGGAAGACCAGTCCGTTCTTGAACTTCCCTGAAGACTTGAGCTCCATCTTGGTCACCAGCTCTCGGAGGCGCTGCGCTTTCTCGCACTCGTTCACTTTGGTGTCGACGGCCGTGATGGCCTCCTTGATCAGCTGCAGCGCCTGGGTCAGGTCCTCGTACTCTTTTGTGCCAGCTGCAGAGAGGAGCCAAGGAGTTGAGCCAAAGGGAAAGAAATCTCTTTTTCAGGAGCGGGGAGGAAAAAAACTCGTCTGGAACACAACCAGCGGTCCAATCGACACCCTCCACTCTAATTCCCTCTGCGAGCCCCTGGTGGAAGAGGCTCCCAGCAGGGCTAAAAAAGGAGGCAGCCTGAGCTGAGCTAAGCGCCCCACAGGTGAATCTTGCACACCTTCAGTGTTTTGAATGAGGCGCTCCACCAAGACCGGGTACTTCATGATGCGCTGCGTGACGAGGAGGTTGCACTCCTGGATCCCGAGTCTCCTGACAATGGAAGAATTGCTGATTTTCTACGGAGCAAAAGGCAGACACACAGACACACACACAAGGGGAGGCTTACTCACAGCAATGGTGCTGGTAGCCCCGCCTTCATCCCTGGCTCAAAACTGAGAGGAGGACATTGAAAGTCATCCCCTGCTGGGGGTGCTCCTCTGGTACTCAGAGGTATGCTGCCCGAAGGCCACCGAGGCAGATTTCTCAGCCACAAAAACAAGCCTTTTTCACAGCCGCCTAAGCTAGCTAGTGGGTCCCCGCACCTCACAGGGGTGGGCGGGGGGAGATCTCCTGCTATCCGCCCAGCAACACAGTTAAGAGTGATTCTCTTTCCC